GTTCACCCTGAAACAGAACTGGGATTCATCACACAGTGCTCCCCCTGCAAAAGCTCCTTTCCTCTGCTCATGGATGTGCTGCTTACACCTGAGGGTAGGTTCAGTTGTCCTGATGAGGCACCCCGTTCCACCTGCAGATTGGACCATGAAAAACAAACCCCCGGTTGTGATTTTAACTTTCTGTCATACTTGTCTATAATTCATTAGAACACTTCAGAGATAAGTTCTGACCATCGAAAAGTCCTTGAATGATCTGCTGTAAACTATTTGCACTTGCTGGGATAAATTTGGAGCCTACAGACAGCCAAGAGCTCCCAAGCCTTTGCTGCACTCTCTGGGTCCAGCACTGAAGCCACCTGAGTAGGGTATTCTGCTCTTTGCATTTCTAAACAGCCGTCAGCAGCACGCAGCATCAGTCCTCAAGAAGCAGATCCTCAATGTCCTGTTCAGCGCTCAGAGCAGGAACACATGCCAGTTGAGTGACGAACAAAACTACTCCAACCTTGCTGCAATCTGCAATATGTGAACAATGCAGAAGAGAACCTTGCAGAGATCTGAGAAGAATGGCTGGTTGGAGCAGATTTCTGGAAATAACTTCAGTGGAACCTTTCTGCTTTGCTTCCCTTATTATCCTAGCCCAGCTGTGCTCTACCTGGAGAAGGAAGAGGATGAGGACTTTGAAGAATCTGATGAGAAAGAGGAAGAGGAATCAGGAGAAAGAACAATCCGAAGAGTCTGAGGAGGAAGAACCACCATCAAAGAAGAGGATGCAGAAGAGTTCTCCAAAATCATGAGTCAGGGCCTCTCCAATGAAGTAAAGATAATTCAAGCCCAAACCCAGAAAAACCCTTGTGGCCTGCTGGGAGAAAGCAAAGCCTCCACCCAAGGTGAAAACCCCTGCTAAGAAAGCCAAACCAGCAGCCGCAGCCATCAAGAAACCCTCTGGTGGCAGCTCATCCAAGGAACCAGCAGCAAGTGGGAGGAAGGAAGTGAAACCTTCTGCCAAGGTCAAATCTGCTGTTTGGAAATCTATCAGGCAAAAAAGTAACTTTTTCCACTGTCAGGGAATCCCATGATCAAATCCACAATCTTGTTTTATAAAGTCAACATGCATTTGTATTTTAGTTCTAATGCTTAAACATTTTTGTTGTTGTTGTTGTTTGTTTCTTAAATGATGGAGAAAAAGCTGAAAACTGAATCAAACCAACCCAAGCATTTGTTAGATCTCAGTCCTGTGCCTTGTGCCTTCCCCTTCCATGGAACAAGTCATCCTTAGTTTCTGCAATTATTTTAGGACTCTTCTAGGACCTGTAATCTGTACATTTTATGGTGTTCCCTTTGGGCATGGGGGGAGGGCGGCTTTTAAAATTCTTCAAAGAAGTTATTTGTATCTTTGGGCAGCAGGAACATGATGATAGGGGAAATACAATTCTAAAGTGAGAAGGTACAATGGCGCAAGAGTCCTCCTTAGATCACCTGCATGATGAGGTCCTTCTTGTCTTTCTGCTGGACAGGAGCTTCCTGAAGGCTCTCTCCACTGTCACTGGCTGCAAACAATGCTCCAAGGTGGGTCAGGGAAGGGGAGAACATGACTTTCTTTCACTTCCTAATCAATTATTTGCACACTTAACACAATCCAATATAACAAATCATTATAAACTTTTGTAACAAATGCCAGACTGCAACAATACCTCTTATGATACAATAAAGGGCCATCTGGAAATCTGCCTGTATTGTTTTGAGAAGCACTCAGATCTGATAAGTGGCTAAAGATTAGTTTAATGAATCCATATTCAGCTTTTAAATCTATGCTTAATGTGACATTGTGTTTCTAATTGGGGACTAAAAATGTTCATATATCATTCCCATCATCACAGATTAAACATAACTTGCAATCTCTATGTTACTAAAAAGTTCATAATTTGTACTAAAAAAATGGAATTAGTAGACTCAGACATAGCATGGAAGTTCTTATAATGAGCTATTCATCTTCAGGTCAGGTTTTATAATAACTAACTGCTTCAAGTTAGCTGAGAGTGAAGAAAATGAAAAGGGAAAAAATGAAAATTGGAATAAATGCTAAAAATTGTGTCTCATTTGTACAGAGTGGAGCATTATTGTATTTAAAATGTGCAAGCTGCTTGTGGCACTTTGTTTCCACCATCACTTATTTAAAGGGATGCTGTACATTGGGCACTTGCCAAGTATCTACTGTCAGTTACTGTCAGAGAAACTGACATAACAAAGCTAAGCTTAAATAATGCCACTTTTTCTTAGGAGTGAATATCTCAAAATTTTTAATCAAAGCACTACATTCGTGGTCACCTCCCTTCTCACTCATGAGCACCAAACATGTTAACTATCAGATTGTTTTCACATGGATAAACTTTATCTGGAAAGCAGGCAACATTTTTTTGTTTCCTCCATGCGCCTTTAGCAATGGCAGCCAAGTATCATACAGCTTATCAACTCTACTCGTAGTCTCATACACAAAATATGGTAGTATGAAAAGCAAAGTGTTTTCAGCGTGTCTTGAGATTTGCAAAGTTTTTCAGATTGAATGACTACTATCAATTATCTCTGCATTCCCAGCAGGAAATTAGATATCCTGTTTTTTAATGCTACAATGCCTGACACTGTAGTTCCAACAGTGCTACAGTACAAATCTCCACTGTGGATAAAAAAAAAAACAAAAAACAAAACAGAGAAAAACGTGTTTTCATGCAATGCAGAAAAGAGAACATCATTTTTAGACACTAATTCTCTGATTCTACCTGATTTTTCATTTAAAATTATATTTTAATCAGGAAGGCAAACATATGAAAGTACAAGGAAAGTATAGAAATGATTTATTGTGTTCATGTCAGTTTTGTCTACAGGCGGAACAATTTATAGCTCTGTCATATACTGCCAACCAGGCTCATCATTCATACATTTAAGGGACTAAAAACCCTCAGAGCAGCTTGTTTCATGCAATAAATTTGAGAAATTCTATTCCTAGTAGCATTCATTATGTTTCTTCTGAGCTTATTGTAGTTTGTTTTCTGCTTTTACCCTTCCTTTCTCTAGGTGATGGGATAAAATAGTGGCTTATTTCTCAATAAGAAGTATCTCAATCTCTTCAAGAAGTGGATGCAGAGGTTCCCCAGAAGTTGGACATTATGTCAATGACAAATCCCTGCAAGTCACTGGAAAGGTCAGTTGGTTTGAGCGGTACCCTTCCTCCTGGCCACTTTCAGCATGGTTAGCATAATCAGCAATAAGGCAAATACCTCCTGTTACAGTACAATCTTGACCCCTTCTCTCCTCTTGTGTGCAAGGATACGCTTATCATAAAGACAACAAGATCCAAGTGCTGAGCCACTAAGAGGATACGGGGAGCACGAATTGACAAGATGATTAAGCCCATCAGCATTAGCAAACCCAGGTGCTGGGTTTACAGGATACGGTGAGACACATTCTGGAACAGGGAACTACAACAATACATGGACCGCTGTCCATAAAATTAGACTGCTAGAAGCCCTAAGTGAGATTTAATGCAGAAATGCTACTGGACAGGAAAATCTGTGTCCCTTCCGTGGCCAGGGATACTTCCACCATTGTAAGTGAGTGACTCAGGTTCTTCTACATAAAGCCTGAATCCAGGTAATGACTTTATCACATGCTGATTGCTAAGATTTTGATTTAATATGCAATGAGTTTGCACAGGTGTAAATGAAAAGCCTGTGCAATTAACCAGATTGTTAATGATTTTTTTTACGAAACAGTAAAACTCTGATTAGAATTGTAAAATCTTGCTCCTCCCCATTCTTCCAAGTCTCCCTTAAAACTATCCATCATGTTGTGTGTGACAGCCACCTTCCCACACCAGCGTCTGCTACAGTTGCAGCTGGGAAGTCATGTTGAGCTATATTAGCAGTGATTTTGTTATGCTCTTCCTCCATCTTCACCTTCCAAACTGACAGATTCCTCTTGTAAGGGTGGATTGACCACTGCCCTCAAAAGCAAAACTTCTGCTGACTTTAGATTAAATACCCAGGGATCCTCTGACTGCTGCTGGAACTAAGCTGGTAGCACAGAAAGTAGAGAGTACATTTAAAGAAACTTTAGCTCTTGGCTGGGGAAGATCCTGTGAGAAGACGACTGCAAGTGGGTAAATATTAGAAAGGTCCTGGATGTCACTGGGTGCTTTCCAAGGCCTTGAGGAAACACCTGTTCTGAATAGCAGTGATTTACAGTGCCCATTACACCTGCTGCTGCAGCACACTGGAGCCTTTCCAAGATTTCAGAGGGAATGAGGTGAGTCTTCCTGGATATCCAGCATTACAATTTCTCTGTTTTTAGTACTTTTCTTGTCAATAAGCACAAGACATCTCACAATTTGGGCCAAAAAGTAAGCACTGTATTCCAGCTACATTAGAGAGGTGGCACTACAGACAGGCAGTCATGGCAATTATATCAAAATTAAGATAAGTTTTCACCCTCCCTGCAAACACAGATCAACTTCCTCACTAAGAAACCCTTATAGCCTTTTAAGCACCAGTTGAACATTTATTTGTTTCAGTATTGATTTTGGTCTGTCTGGCAGTGTTGAGGTAAAAAACACCACAGAAAAGTCAATCATATAGAGTATTGAGCCAATTTTAAAAAGTTGCACTTAACAAACACGTGGAAACATCAACTCCTGTAACTGTACTTTTTGTCATTTCACATAACTTTGAGCTAGCCAACTCCTTCAAACTCAAAGGATGGCTGTTCCTCACTTACATTTTATGTTGCAACTGAGCTGAAAACAGAGTTAAATGTTGCTTGATAAGCTTATGAACCATTAGACTACTAGGTCTGACATTTCTCTAAACAACACCCAGTCTTTATGCTGCCCAAAAATAGATACAAGCCTGAAGAAAACTGAGAAAACTCAAGCAGTCACTTACTGACTTACACCTGCAGCTATCTTACCAGCAAAGTGATTTTTTGAGATAACTGAGTGCTGCACTCACCTCAACAAAGATGAAGCAGGGGATGATGGAGTAACTTCTCTGGGTGTTGTTTCCCAAAGCCATTTCTCATCACACTTCTTGAAGAGGCACTGTTGAAAACTTTATAATCCTGAAAAAGAAAAGACAAAGATATTTTAGTATATTCCACTATTTTGCAAACTCCACATTTAACATACCAAGATTCACAGCATGACATACTGGTCTGGGGAGACAGACAAAAAAGAGCACAAAGGTCTAACTTGCGTTTGTTCAAAATGAGCTGAAAAGGCATTCCTTCTGCAGCACAAAAAATAACTGACAGTCAAAAAGTTACATCAATTATAGAGAAAAGAGCAATAAGGGATACAACTGTTGTCCTTAATGACAATCCACTCCCAAGGAAATTCTTCTTCCTCACAACACATCGTAAAACTATATTTTTGTCCTACTACCCTGCCTACGGTATCTTTTGAATCAAGAGATGGTGGCAATTGACTAGTGAACCCATACTTTAAAAGACACACTTATGATACAATATACAATGTAAAAATAATCAAACGTTTATTTGCATAAAATGTGACCAACTCAGGAAGATATCATGGCTTATCCATACAAAAAAAAAATCACAACCAAGCATATGTAACAAGAATGTATGGGTCTGCAAATTCTTTTTGTCCTGCTATAACCTAGTATACTACCTCAAAACCTTCCCTGTGTACCATTACTTCAAGCTATTGGCTGTTTTTATTAACATACCCGTGTCACTGTCTGTGCCAAGACATTTAATGTCTTTGCAGATGCAGAGAATTTTTATTGAGAGACTGTGATTTTGTGCATGAATGCACCAAAAAGCTAAGTCTGGCTCAAACAGTTCAAGAGAATGGGATTGGTAGTGACCTAAGCTAGCAGACAAAAGGGTCTGAAAAAGTAGAGTGTAGATCAAGACCTGCCAGGTGCGTGTTTGCAGGGAGCAGGAGACACACACATGAGGGTGCAAATCCTTTGCAATAAATTTAAATGTGAGCACAGATTTCACAGTATTGTACAATATTCACATTTTTCTTGAACACCAGCAGGCCATGACTAATGACCATCTTCCTGGTGAAGAGCCTGCCCCACCTCCCTCCTCGTGAAGAAGCTGTAGGCCACCATGAGACTCCCCCCGAGAGGCCTCACCTCTGTATTTAGGTGGGCACAACCTCATTTGTAACACACCAAAATCATACATTGATGATGAGAATCTCATGGGCCAGGACCACGGGTTAAGAAGGAGGTGAAAGCTGGTGCATTTTCCAGAAGCTTTGCACAGCAAGTAGGTTCAGCTCCTTGACCTCACTGGCATCAGGATGAGGATTCAGGCCCTGGCATATGGAGCTTGTGAGGCTCACAAGGGGAGACAGTGCTTTCTGACCAGCTCTCAGCAGGAGCACTGGAAAACACACTTAGCAGAGCACAGAGTTCAGCAGAGGTTATGGACTGAGGAACTAGGTCAGCTGCTACCACATTCCAACTAGTATTGCCATTTAGGGACTACTTAGTATATTTTTCATCTCAGCTCTCCACAATTTATTTGAACCAGAGCTATAAAATACATAATGCACATGAAGATTTTGATAATATGGTTCTAGGATCAGCTGTAGTGGCTGTAGTGAAGACACTGTGTGTTAAGACAACTTCTGGGCTCCCAGCCATTGAAAAATGCAGTTCTGGGTCTCATGCAGTGCTCAGAAAATGCTATCTCTGACAAGCTTCAGATTCCAATCCTACACTGTATCCCAATTCTGAAATACAAACATTCTGAATTTCAAAATGCTTGTTTTTTAAAGAATACTTCAGCTGTACTTAGGAGATAAAATGGGTTTTCTCTCAGGGATCTGTGCCTTTTTTTGGGCGGTGGGGGATGAGGCTAGGTTTGGATTTTGTTATTCCAATTCCATTTCGGATATAGAAAAATTATCCAATCATTAATTTTTAGCCTTACCTTTCATACACTGGCTCTTGTGCAGCACCCTCTCCCTTTAATTCATTGAACACATGGTACTTGGTGGAACAGTAGGTTAGAGAGTTAGAGCCGCTTACAATGCATTACTTATATTAACTCTTTTTGTACCCTGAGGATACACTGTCATCATCTTTTCTACAAGTCCTAATTTTCAAATGGCTTACTGTAAATATGTTAATATCTTAGCACCTCCATGAATGCGTCCCAGATCCACCTTTCAAACAAACAATATTTTTCATAACATTGTCTCGTAATTTACAGCTGTGACTTCACTTCCAATGGCATGTTCCTAATGAAAGCAGTAGGCTGCAAGCAACCTAAAATTTAAGAAATGTTCTCAACAAATGCATGAAGCTACTGCACAGGCCAGCAAAGATGCTGAGGTTTCTTAGCAGACATAAAAGCATATAATTTAATGCTTATATCATAAATATGTATCACTATGTCTGTTCCTTCATGCTCATTGTGAAAAGCTGGTCTAAAAAAACAGCACTTCCTATGGGAAAGCATTTTACATGTCAGCTTCTCTCCTATGTGATGACACATTTGTGTCAGATGTAAAATGTAAGCAGTCTAAAACCACATAGTTGCTTGATCAGGCTAGTTGATTCCAACACTGTGGGAAAACTCTCAGTTAGCCTTTGCTTGTCATAGTAGGTCTTTTCATTGGCTCAGTCTCCAGAAGGGTGGAGGGGAGGAACAGTGTGATCTTAGTGGGAGCACTCAACCTTTTGTCTCTCTCCAGTGAGTCCTCTAGGAACACAGACACAGCAAAACACAGATTACAGCAATCCCTAACTGCTTCAGTCTGCACAGCAGACAGAGATAATGTAGTTTTGTGTCCAAAATGGGAGAATCACAGTAAGATGTAAAACAAGTGTTTACTGACAGTACCATCTTAAAAACCATATCCCTTTGCATTGAACACATTTTCACAGCACAAAGTGTCTGATCAAAGCAGCAGGAAATAACAACTATAATATCAGCAGATGGTATTGCCTGATCATTTTCACTCTTATTTTTACCAATTTGACTTAACTGCTAAGGAGCTTGTGCTATCAAATCTACAGAAAGCTTTTTAGTTCCCACTAGCTATAACCTTTTAGTGTCTAATATGTGAGCACTGAAATAAGAGGAAAATTGGTCAAACTTATTCCAGTTAATTAGGGATCCTAGTAGAGTGAATATTAATAATTTAGAGTTCTGGTATTACGACGTGCTTTCACTCTTTAAGCAATATATATAATACTGCATTTGTGAATTAATTAGCATGAGTTAGTTCTCATTTTTCTCAATTTACCCCACGTACATTTTCAGAAAGCCCCTGAACTATGGTGTAGGAGGTTACTGCCTGACATCTCCTGGGAGAACAAGCAGAGACATGGAATATACATAAGTGAACTGAAAATTAACTAAAAAGGACAGCGAAGAAAGAACAACTCAAACTGAAGAGATTTTATAGCCCCTGGGATCCATCCAGAAGAAGAAAAAAGAATGAGAGTCAGAGAGTAGAAGAAAGAAAAAGAAAGGCCTCTTCTTATAGGTTACTAAAAGCCTCATTCAGGTATGTTCTAAAGCTTTTTTATTTAAGAATGTAGGACACAGCTAAAAGGACATTTCTAGGATAAACTAGCATTTTATGAGTCTTTATATATCTCCTGCAACAGACTCAGTGCAGCTCATTATTGTTCCATGTTATCAGCACTCAAATGATGAATTCCACTGAAGACAATGGTCACCCTTACTGTTACAGTATATAATGGTTATCTAGGCACTTTTGGAAAATACCAGAATCCAAAATCCAGAAAAGCTGAATACCCAGAGCAGGTATTGTTTATCACAGTTTACAACATGTGTCTCATTTAATCAGTGCATATTTCTGTAGATGAGGAAGGCAACCACTGGTCAACTTTTCATCTGGACCCAAAATGTGTACAAGAAAAAAAAAAGAAAGGATTGGGTTTCTTGTCTTTCTTAATCTAGATAGTTCAATGACCTTTTTAGCTGCAGTTAACACTTTGTTTTAAAATAAAATTTAATTGTTATATTAGAAAAAACACAACATAACAAAATTAAAGACACTTAAAATGCAAGCATTTTCTGGTTTATAGATTAGTTTTTAGAAGAAAAAAAGGACTAAACCTTCTGCACCAGTCCATCAACGATCAGTTTGTGCAACTGAAACATGAAACCAAGTATGCCAAACCTTCATTCAATTAGAAAAACAAATTCAAACTAATGTCATCACTCAAGATGATTATCCAAGCCTTTACAGAGAGCTGTATTATTATAATCACTATGTATTACACTCCTTTTTAAAAATTTCATTCTTAATCAGAGTCCCCTACCTCCTATGGGGAAACAGCCAAAAGTGTTGAAGCACTTTGCCAGACATCACACAATGATTCAATGTCTAGCCTGAAAAAATATACATAAGTCCCAGTCTCCTTTCAAACACTCCCTCCACTTGACTGTGGAATCTCTACACTTCAAATATACTTGGTAATTCCTGTAAAAATCTTTGCAGTTCTGATGCCAAGGATTTCCCTGGCTTGCTACTGAGACTAAGGGGAGTTTTGCTACTCAGAACATCACAGAACACACACTGTAAGTCTGCACAAGTATTGATCAAACACCCAAGATGTGGCAGCTTCATGTCCCCCCTACAAAGCTTCACTCTAGCCTTGTCCAAAGGCAAGTCATTATCCCATACAACCTTGGCAGAAAAAGCACGTAATTTCCAACAGATTGCAATAGAAGAGAAGAAGAACTACATTTCAATCTCCGAGCTGAAAGGGAGAATCTCCAGGAGACAGTTCAAAATGAGCAGAGAGCCTCCATGCTGAAAAGGAAATTTCCAGGAGAGAGTCCGAGCCAAGAGGGAGAATCTCCAGATGCAGAAAGAGAGTTTCCTTGTTGAGAAACAGAGTCTCCAAATCCAAAGAGAGAGTCTCCAAGCCGAGACAGAGAATCTCTGGTTTGAGAAAGAGAGCCTCCTAGTTAGAAGAGAGAATCTCAAAACCTGGCAACAGTGTCTCTGAGCTGAGAAAGAAAGTCTCCAAGCCGAAGGGGAAGATCTCCAAGCTGAGAGAAGGAATCTCCAATCTTGACGAGACACCTTTG